GAATCATCATATGAAATTGAGTGCAGAGTCTTTACAGGGTATTATGGTCAATTCATGAGTCGTGTGTATTGATGAGCCAACGATATTAAATATAAATATATATATATATATATATATATATATATATATATATATATTATGGCTTGTATCTTCATCCAAGTTGATTTTCCTACTTACATTACTTTAGCCCAATAATTTTTCTTTTCTTCCTTCCAATTGAAAAAATATAAAACTAAACTTTTTGTTTTTTTTTAGATAAATTATACACACTTTTAGACTACGAGGTTTGAAGTTAGTTTTTATTTAGTTATTCAAGTTGTTTTAAAAGTGATTCTATGAAGTTTGAATTTTATTTTTATTTGGTCTATACTGATTTAACATAACACTTGGTTAAATTTGAGAGAATTAGAGTTCTTTGGTCAACAGCGAGGCTATTTTGTAATTGCTGATGATAAAAAACGACTTAAAAAGTAGACCACTAGAAGAGTTGACCACAAGTTGAGGTATGAAGCCTTGAACCCATTTTCCAAAGAGTAATACATCGGCCATAAAGGATATATAGCTTAGTCATAAGAGATACCTCGACCAAGGAGCGCCTTAGCTAAAAGGAATATAGCTCAACTAACAAGGATGAGCTAATTACAAAACAACTCAACCGTCTTTCTAACAATACGCTATGATTTACAGGACATTCGTAACTCGACTAACAAGGATGAGCTATATCACAAAATAGCTCAACTATCTTTCCAACAATATGTTGTGATTTATGGGACGTTCATAACCGTTGCTCAATCATTGTCAGAAGTCTCAACACCTATAAAATAGAATCGCTCGCCTTACTTTTAAGTACGTGATACTAAACTTTTTACTCTTTTCTATACAGATCCTTCATTCGTTGGCCTCATCCAAATTCGAGCTTTCACGGAGTTAGTCATTTTTATTATCAAACAACCATCAACTTCTTCTAAGGTAACTTCAACTCGGTTTAGAACGATCATGGACCCAACGAACCGACAATGACACAAGATCAAAAATCTACATAAACATGTTAAGTACCATGTTACTAGCTTCCATTAAAGGAACAACATATAAACTTTATGTAACAAAAAATGTAGTTGAAACTTCACTATGAATAAGATGTAAATTAAATTCGTATTTACTTTAATGATATTAAGTCAGGTCATAAATTTGAATCCTGCCCTCACAAAATCAAAATATAAATAAATTCAGATCTCAAAAGTCAAAAATATCAATTTGAAACGAAAAGAACTTTGAGTATCGGGTCTCGAATGGCAAGGCTGGACGTGGCCTCATTCTAAGCAATGAACAGATGGCTGCAAAACAAATTTTATTTATTTATTATTAATATTATTATTATAATTTTCATCTTTTTCAGAAGGCACCGCCACCCCAACTTGGAATGTACTTACCTTCAAACCAACTCTTAATCCAAGTGGCCAATGCCCATTGAATTATTTCATAATTGATTTTTGGACGTTTTTAAGTTATTATTTAAAAAAATACATTTCATTAATAATAAAGTACATATATATTTTTTTCATTTAATAATTATGAGACAATTATGGAGTCAGAAGTCTAATCATCTACTTTTAAAATAGTATGAATACTTGATTGGAGTACATAAGTATTTTTAATTATTTAAATAATTCTTATTTCATATTCAGTAAAAATATTATATTCCTCAAAACAAACCTCAAATGAATCTTAATTTTAAAAATAAATAGTTTATCTCGAATATCATACTTTACCTCTAATTTCAGTTGGTCTAAAGGAATATCCCAACTACCAAACAAAATCTTAAATATTGAAAACTAGAACTCAGCCCAATAACTCCAAAACAAACTTCTTTTAAAAATACAGTAATAATAATAATAGTAAACGATCCAAATCAAATCTCAATGGCCGTCTATAATATTTGCTTGTTCAGTGATTCTAATTTCATTTAAGAAATATTCTTAAATGGTTATACTTTGTCATGTTTTAGTATACAACTTTCGACTATTTTATTTCTAACATACAAGTTTTACAGTTACAAATCAACTATATGATCGATTATTTATAATTATTTAAAAATTAATGATGATCTTTTAAAATTATATAAAAGATATGAATCAAATCCTGATTATATAGTTTTAAAATATATGTCTAGATTTGTGCTAATATTACATGAATAAAAAGGTTTATAAGGAGTATTAAAAAAAACAAATTTTTTGGTATGAATACTGAAATTAAATTAGAACTTTTCAAAATTTATAGATGGATATATAAAAAAAATTATAGATGAAAACCTAATTTTGAAAATGCTAATCGAAATCACAGTAAAATTGAAGCCAAAAAGTTAATTATGAACCCATTTATATTTGAAAGATAATAAATTAACAGATGGAAATTTGATCACCAGTGAACTTTTTAATTTTGAAATGTATAGTACTAAAAATATTTCAATTCAAAATAGTTTATTTTGCCGATAAAGATAGACATTGATTTATTTTTTATTAATTTTGGATAGGCAGCGTACTGGTCTCATATGGAGTCAAATAAAACATATTTGTTATTTGATAAGATAAGATAATGAAAAAATTTAAAAAAAATAATAAAATTTTTAATGGGTTAATACATTAATGGTTATATTTGCAAACTTATCACATAAAAAAATAATTAGAAAATATGACATTTTTGTAAAGTGTTATTTTCACGTTTAAGTATAAGTTGAGATATATTGATGAGTCTTACTTAAATTATACTATATGTTTACTTTTTTTTTATTTGAAGTTTCGAGGTATTTTATTTTTATTTCTATAGTCTGGCCTGGCCGGGTCAATACTTGATTGAATTTTTTTACTATAATAAATTATAAATGAAATGTGCTATATTTGCTATTATTTTTTATTAAATTGGACATTTTGATCGTTACTGTGATTTTAATATTTAAAAACCACAAATAAAGAAATATTAAAGTTGAATAATATGATGCAGGAATAACTTAGTATTAATTGAGTTCGGTGAAACGTGATAGTTGATAATTTGGACAGATGTCGATCTGTGAATGGTGGTAGCACAGTGTTAAGCAACCCCATCAGGCGAGGCATGATTGTGTGATTTTGTAACATTGTCAACATGGTACACGTTAGCCCATTAAGGAATTTCATTCTGAAAAAAAATTCACTTTTTCCCTTTCACTTTTTTTTTTCTTTTCCAAAATTTCTTTAGGAAATTCTAGCCAGGGCCGGGACTCTATTTTATAATTTGTATTTGTACAAATAAAAATACGGATGAATATTCAACCACTGGATCACCCCATATCAAGAAACAAATTTAAATCGAATGGAAGGCTTCATTAATTTCTTTTTGCGATCCCAGATTATTCTCGATTTCAAAAACCTAGATTCATTCCCTCCTCCTCTATCTGCTTCTGATTTTTTCCGGAAAACAATCTCTTTCTTTTTCAACAATTGCCTCATTTATAGGGAAAGAGAGAGATTTGATTCTGCTGCCAACTCAGTTTCCTTTTGTTTTGGTACAAGTAGTGATGGTGTTGTTAAATCTGAACTACATTTGGGTTTATAGAGAGAGCTAATTGGCAGAGGGAAGTTTTGTTGGCAAAACCAGAGAGAGATTCTGGGCTTAATTTTGTGAGGTGGGTCTTGAAATATCTGAGCTTTGAAGCAAATATCAGAGACGTTTCTTGGTTGGATGGGTGTGTGTGAGAGTGATTAAGGAGGGTTATGAGAAGGGCACATGTTAGTTTGGAGAAACAATGACTGGAGGAGGGTCGTTGGGACTTCGCTCATCGAGTTACGGGGCATTGGATAAACAGTTGAATAACGGAGTTTCGCCGATCCAAACAGCACGTAAGCCCTCCAAAATGCCCAAGGAGAAGGATTATTTGTTTCCTTGGATTTGCAAGTTCGTCGGTAGAAAGAAGGTTGGGATGCTGCTCCTCTGTGTTGTTTCTGCTGTGGTTTTCCTCTGGGTACTGTACGTGGGCAAAGGTTTGAGTCTCTTGCGCATTTGAGTACACCATTCTTTCACTCGATTTTTTTTTTCTCTTTATTTCAGATTGTTTAAGAAATGAGATTAGTTATGTTTTGGTTTTAGCTGAGAATTGGAGATTGAAGATTTTTGGTTTGGCATTCATCGAATTGTCTGCCTTCTTATACGGACATTTTACTTTTGTTCAGCTTATGAATAGGTGGGATGAAATCAGTGGATAAAGACACTCAGTTTTTGCTGTTTGTGATGATCTTGTTGAATAATATTTGAGTGACACTCTTGACCTTTTTTTCCTTGATAATAGCATTGGACTTGATTCACATCTGTGGTAGATTTATAATTCAGATTATCGAAATCACAAATCTCAATTTCTTGCCAAACGTTAATGTATTAATGCTGCCCTTTCAAGATTTTTCAGTCTTTTCATATTCTTTTACACTATTTGCTCTTGACAAATGCCAGCCTTATATCCTTTCATCTTTGTGTGTGTGTGTTTGCATGAGGTAGTGATATATTTAATTGTGACCATGACTCTCTAGGTGAGGATGCTCAAGAAGGACATCATATACAGCATGTCAGTATTAACAATAGCATGGCTATGAGTTACAGGGAACCTTCACCTGAAGATATTATGCATAGTAGTAGTAATTCTTTGGTAAAAGCGGTAGAGAAATTTCCGTTGGCATCACCTCCTCCTCCTCCACCACCACCTCCCCTTCCGCTTCTGCCACCAGCAGTTTTCCTGGGTTATACTCTTCCTCCAGAACACCCATGTAATAATTTTGCGATGCCTCCCCCACCTGCAGATAAAAAGAGAACTGGTCCAAGGCGTAAGTTTTATAACAGAACGTCTGATTTATTTATAGGTTTTCATTTTTGCAGTCTTCAAATCATGACATTAATTTCCCTTGCACTTTTTTAATATTTGGGCACCAATGGATTCTCAAGGTACTTGCACCTTTACTTAGAATTTCCCTTTTTATTCTTCAGCATGTCCCGTATGTTACCTTCCCGTGGAAGAAGCTGTTGCCTTGATGCCAAATGCCTCATCGGATTCCCCTCTTCTTAAGAAATTGGAATATATCTATGAGGAGAATTTAAGAAGAGAGACGGAGTTTGGAGGTTCGGACTTTGGTGGATATCCTACTTTAGCCCAGAGGACAGATTCTTTCGATGTAAGGGAGTCAATGAGGGTGCACTGTGGGTTAGTTTTTTTGTCTCCATCCTTCTTTCTTGTTTATGTCAAGAATTTTCCCTGCATATCGTCTTCAGGGCGTGGGTTGTACATACAATATTTTAGGCATACAACATTTTACATCTTCATCCCATTCTTTTTTGGTTATATGTTCTTTTAATGAATGAGGATAAATACTATACTCCTAGATTTTGTTTTTATCTTGGCTTTATGTGTTTTGGTTTATGTATGCTTATTGATAGGTTTGTCGGAGGGGTCAAACCTGGTCGCAACACAGGTTTTGATATCAATGATGACGACCTTCACGATATGGAGCAGTGTCATGGCGTGGTTGTTGCATCTGCAGTATTTGGTAAGATTTTTTTTTTCTTTTTTCAATTTTTATTTTTCTGTGAACATATGTCGTTTGTTGTGCTCATGAAACTATTAATTCTTCAGGAAATTTTGATGATTTAAATCAGCCGAAGAACATTAGTGAATATGCCAAGAAAAATGTTTGCTTCTACATGTTTGTTGATGAAGAAACAGAAGCATCGATAAAGGAAACTGGTATCCTAGAAAGCAGCAAGAAAATTGGACTCTGGCGAATCGTTGTGGTCCATAACTTACCTTACAAGGACGCAAGACGAACTGGAAAAGTAAACTTCTAAATTTTAGTTAGCATAATTCATTTTGATATGAAAATTAGCATGGCCAAATGATCCATGTCTGCATGGTAGCTCTCAAGGGTTCTTCCTTCTTTAGCTTGTTTGAAGTCCAGTTTCAATGGATGCTTTATGAATTAAGCTGATAATTCTCTCCCTTTTTGATAGGGTGTTGCCTATGGGCTATAACCTTCTCTTTTCTTCATCTGCTTGAGCAGAATGACATTTCTATAGGTCACCAACTTGTAGCTTCATTTTCACAATGCATCATGACTTTGTGCCAGAAACTGGAAATTAAGATGAAGGAAATTGTGCCTTAAACGTATCTTTGGCCTGTATTTTTACCGTTTCAGATACCAAAACTTCTGGTGCACAGAATGTTTCCTAATGCTCGATATTCTCTTTGGGTTGACGGAAAACTTGAGCTTGTTGTGGACCCATATCAAATTCTTGAAAGGTACATCTGAGTATCTGCGAACTTTACAAGTTTACTCGAGGTTGTACTCATAGCATACTGCATTGAATTTTTGTGATGGCATTACCCTTCCTAGCCTTCAATCATCTTAATCGCTCCTATTGAGCCATTAAGAGGCATCCAATTTTCTGCTACAATCCTCTTACTGACAATTTTCCAATGTCGAGAGTTATTGGTCATGTCATGTATATGCAAATTAAATCTTGTTCAAGATCTATCTGCTCTAGTTTGCATTAGTGAGCATTAGATTATCTTAATCTTTGAGTTTAGTTTATATGTTTAGATATAATTTTTTGACCCGCTTTTTGGCAGTGACTGAAGGGTTGTATTAATGGAAAGGGATAAAGCCATTATACGGTTTTTTTCTTCCAAAAAATGATAATGGAAGACCTAAGTTCCCCATTTGAAGTTCCATCAGTTTAATGTGTTACAGTTAGCTGCCTGTTCAAATCTTTCACTATTGTAATAATTAGGAAGTAGAAAGGAAAAGTAAAGCTGGATGTCAAAGTCACGAGTGTAATTTAACCAATGATATAGATGAACCATATTTGATATAGCAATAATAACAACTACAACTATGAAAAATGTCTAATTTACATACTCATGGCTTTTTAGTAGTTGGAAAGCCCACACAACCTCTGTGCAATAATAACCATCCTTTGGATTTGATGTCTTTCAGTTATAAGATCCACTACCTATATTTTTCTTGGGTCCTGCTCACTTTTTTCTTTTCTTTTTTCCCCCCTCCCCCAAATGATTACCCTTTCAGGTTCTTGTGGAGAAAAAATGCTACATTTGCAATTTCTAGACATTACAAACGCTTTGATGTGTTTTTGGAAGCTGAAGCAAATAAGGCTGCCGGAAAGTATGATAATGCTTCTATTGACTTTCAGGTTGACTTTTATGTGAAGGAAGGTCTGACTCCATATTGCGAAGCTAAGCTTCCCATTACGAGTGGTATGTTCCCCCACCCACCCTCTCCATAAAAAAATAAGTTAAATCAGGTTCATAAATTTGTCCATTTTGGGTAATCTGCAGATGTTCCAGAGGGATGTGTGATAATTAGGGAGCATGTACCTATTAGCAATTTGTTCAGTTGCCTCTGGTTCAATGAAGTCGATCGCTTTACATCGAGAGATCAAATTAGTTTTTCTACAGTTAGGGACAAAATAATGGCAAAGACAAATTGGACAATCAATATGTTCATGGACTGTGAAAGGCGCAACTTTGTGATTCAGGTAGTTTTTCTATATACTGTATTTATGTTTGTTTGAAGCACTCCTATTATTAATAAATCACACAAATTTCTCCTAGTGATATCATTAAATCAAGGTGCATCATATTCTTTCAAGAAACTTAACTGCCCCCATTTGACTTGGCAATAAATTTCGAATAATAGTAATGATTGTTGATTTATAATGTCAAAATGTAGCCATTAGTACAATGTTAGAATATCACAACTTCTGTATTATTCTGCTTCCGTTGTTTATCTTACAGTATTCTGATTGATTTCCTGGAAACTAAATTGTATGAAAGACTCAAGTCTTTCTTCCCTGCTTATAAATCTATAGGACCTTCTGAATTTGTATCAAGCAATCTGGAAATGTCAAGTAGTTAATAAAGCTGTAGAAGTGAAGACCATTTTATCTTCAAGGTTGAACTGCATATACCTGCCTACCTGCCATTACTGAACTTTTAAGTTTCTGTTTTGTTCCTTGTACTTCTCTTTGTCCTGCAGAAATATCATAGAGACGTCCTTGAACGAAGGGCTCCTCCTGTTTCCATGGCTGTCCATCCTCCTCCACCACCTCCACCACCTCCACCATCTTCCATAAGTAATCCAGTCAATGAGTCGTCGTTAGAAAGAGTTTCAGGTTTACCGAGGAAGGCTTCCCAAAAGCGTAGTCGAGAGAGGAAGTCTAGGCGTCATCGTAAAGTCGTTGCAGGTACAAGAGACAATGATTTGAGTTGAAGTTTTGTTCAGGTGAATTATTTTTATGCTGTTTTCAATCACCCCCTTTTAAAATATATACCGGGGCTGGCTAGGATGGTTGTGCAAGGTGAGTGCTCTAATTCTATTTCTACATAGTTCATTCTCTCATTCTTTCTTCTCCTTTTGGACTTCCCATTCATTTTTCTTGTATATAGAGCAGAGCATACTATATCTAATAATAATTGTTTTTATTGGTTGCTGCCAAGTTCTTCTGATTTCACAGTCCAGCCCTTTTTATTTGTTCCTTTCTTTATCACTGTAACAATTGAACTTAAAAAGCTGATATATCACATACTCTTATTCACTTCTCTTTGGAAGTTTATAAAGTTTGATGGATTTGTTGCCCTCATTACTCTTCTACAAGCCCCCTTTTCTCTTGCAAATCTAGCAGGAAATAACTTATTCAAAACCCACTTATTTTAAAAAAATTATTATTATTTTGGTGTGGGCGAAATATTTCGAGTACTTGATTCTAAATCACAGATAATAATTTTAGCTGTCAAATGGGCAAATCCGAACGCCCTACACGGTCCAACAAAATATAATATTATAAATGGTTTGTTAGAAAGATGCTTTACTATATATTATGTATAAAAAGAAAAGAACATTGTTAGAAAATAGAAATCGATTATGCTTAAACTAAACAAGCCCTTCTATACGATTGCTTCAAATGGTCAAGTTTTATTGTGAAATATCATTTTCATTATACCTCCCGTGTCCTAAGTCAAATATTAATGTATTTATAATTAGTTAGAAATAAAAAGAGTATTATGATCATTGTTATATATTTAATTTCTATTATGATTTTAGAAAATTTTTGGTGAACATCAAATAATAACATTCTCATTTCCAAATGGATAATACTTGTCTCTTTAACAACGAGCAGAAATCTTGTCCTCCTAATTGACAAATGAGAGAGAAATATAAATTTTTTTTAATAATAATGAGTTGTTAAATATTTACTGGTGGAGAGGACAAAATTCCACCTAATTGTTGGGGAGTATGGCACCTTAAATCACTTTGAACCTATAACTTAGAATTCCCAGGCAGCATTTGTAAAATATCATAAAATGGAAGATATTTTCCTCCTTTGAATAGTGATCTTCAATACTTTTTATGTCAAGTTCTTCATATCGACAAAACAAGTTTGCCATTTTGGTTTATTAGGAAAAGAAAATGTTAGAAATAAGGAAGACGTCATATTCTTGACCAAGCCAATCAATTTTATTTAATTATTAAGTTCCTGAATAAAATATAATATTTAAAATTAATACCTTCCTTAAAACCATAGTATAAAGTTGAATAGTTCCTAAATATCTAGTCAACAAAATACTCAAAATTTAATCAAAAAATCACTTGAGTGTGTCAACATATCATACGTATTCAGAACTATAAACGTAGGGTGCAAAGATCTGAATCTCCAACTTCAAAAGAACAAAATTTGATGTCTTTATTGTTAAACGATGTTTACTTTTAACATATTATTCCATTAAACTAAGAAGTTAATGATAAAAAAATATTAAACTCGAAATTAAAAATATTAAAAGTTAAAAACCGTCAAACCGAACATAGCTCAAGTGATTAAGGCATATATATATATATGACTTAGAGGTCATGAGTTCGAATCCCCACCCCCACATGTTGTATAAAAAAAAATTAAAAACCTATTAAAATTATTTAAAGTTATAGACAACTTTAATCTATCAATTTGAACATAATCAAATTCGTTAAGTCATATATCGTAAATGCTCATAAACAAAAGACGTTTAAGTTGTAACTTAACCCTTGTATGTTAAAAAAAGTCTCATTTGTAATTTAACCCTAACTTTTGTTTTTCTTTTTTTAATTTAAAAATTATATTGAACACTTTGTTGTGCTTACCTCATGGAAGCCGGCAGGGCTCGCTGTAGCGATCCGATTCTGCTGCTTCCTGAGAGTGAAGTTTGACCGATCGGTATTTATGGAGTAGCTCTCTTCATCTTCTCTTTCACCCAACAAACGCATTGCATTGGAGTTTCCTCTCTTTATGGATTTCCCCCTAAAACCCTTCCAATTCTCATGGATTTCTCCTCTCTTCTTCTTCTTCTTCTTCTTCTTCTTCTTCTTCCTTCTCAGCCTCTCCTCAGCGACCTCCTTGATCCAAAATCCAGATTCACAAACCCAGCCCCTTTACGATCAAATTTGCAATCACATCGTTCCCCAATCGCCTGTAGACACCCAGACCTTCTCCTTCGTCGATTTCACTCGCAGACTCCAGTTCAGGAGCAGTTTCTTCTCAGGAGGCGACAAGATCATCGGCCAGCCTCCAGGTTCGGCCCCCTTGTTCCCGAGATATGTCTATTTCTACCCGCTCAATGCCCATAAAACCGTCTCCCCGGGCGTATATAAACTCCAAGCAAACTTGGTTCTTCGAGGCTCGGCCATGTATCTTAATTCTGACAATTCCAAGCATCGCCGATTGCGGTTGGTTCGCTATCGGGGACCCAAGACTCAGCCCTGGAAGCGTAGAGTGGGATTTTCCCTCGACGGATTTTGGTCGGAACAATCTGGGAAGCTATGTATGGTTGGATCAGGTACGAGTTATATGAAATCGGGCGTTTTACAGTATTTGAATGTCGTTCTCAAGCTGGATTATCCAACAAACGTGACCATTTTACATAGTTTGATAACTGGAACTTTGGAGAGTTTGGATGAAAATAGTGGTCCGAAATTTTTTGAACCTGCTTCGATCTTGAGTATTGCCCAAACTGCGAATTACAACTATAAATTCACAGACAACGGCCTTAAGGGTGGCTGCCTGAGCGGAAATGATAGAGGTCCGATTCTATCTAAAAATGTCTGTTCATCAATTGGTACACTTACTGATACGTTTGACTTGGAGTATGGGAGTGACTGTGGTGTTGTGAACTGCAATCCTCTTGGTAAGAATGTTGCATACTTGCCGATTTCGATGAACTACGAAGGAATTGAGTGCACCCAAGAGGGAAAAATGCGAATGTTACTGCGCTTTATCAACACAAGTTATCATGTAAATCGATATTCTTTCGTTCCTAGCGACACCTTGATTGCTGAAGGAATTTGGGATCAGAAGCAGAATCGGCTTTGTGCTGTTGCCTGCCGGATCCTGAACTTGACAGAATCCTTAGCAAATGCTTCCGTTGGAGATTGTTCGATAAAGTTGAGTCTGATATTACCTACTGTTTTTTCTATCAGAAACCGAAGTACTGTTGTGGGTCAAATCTGGAGCGCCAAGTCTGCGAATGAATTGGGTTACTTTCCTAAAATTGGGTTTCATAGTTATAATGAAATGTTGATAGATCCTTTGCGAATCAAATATGACTATACTGAGGTTGGAACACAAGGTTCTTGCCCCCAAAGTAAGAATGTTGATGGTAAGGAAAAGACATACCCTGATGAATATTCATCAGACATGAGATTTTACGTGTCCTTAAAGAACAGCAACGGGCAGATTGCAAGGGGTTATGCGACACCGTTATTTGTTGATCGGCATTTCTATCAGAATGGTATATATCAAAGGTTCGTTAACATCACTATGTCAGGGCAAAAAGAGTCTACAGCTCCAGTGGCATACGATTGGAATAGTCTGCTGAACGTTAGCTACAGGATAATCTTCAGCGCTCCTTCTGATTTCAAGTTGGCTGGAGAGAAATTTTCATTGAAGAAAGAGGAGATTTCTGCTGAAGGAACTTACGATAAGAAAACTGGCTCTTTGTGTATGACAGGATGCTGGCAACGAGAGTTGATGATCAATCGTACATGGGACTGTGAAATTGTTGTCAAAGGCCAATTTCCACCACTTGATGCAAGTGGGGTGGACCATCTGAAGGGAACCATTGAAAGCAAAAGGTCAAAGTCAGATCCTTTTTATTTTGATAATCTGGAGTTGTCTTCGGTTTCAATTTACGGGAGCCAGGCCAAAGAATCCATTTGGAGAATGGACCTTGAAATTACTATGGTTCTGGTTTCCAATACACTTGCATGTCTTTTTCTGGTATTGCAACTCTTTTACGTAAATAAGCATCCAGATGTGCTTCCTTTTGTTTCTGTTTTGATGGTCGTAATTATGTGCTTGGGACACATGATTCCTCTTCTGTTGAACTTTGAAGCTTTGTTCGCAGCACACCGAAACCAGCAGAGTGTGTTTCTTGGCAGTGGGGGATGGCTCGAAGTGAATGAAGTTATCGTTAGAGTAGTAACGATGGTAGCTTTCCTTTTGCAGTTGCGTCTTCTTCAGCTCACTTGGTCATCAAGACAGGGCAATACAAGTGAGAAGAGCTTGTGGGATTCTGAGAAAAAAGTTACTTATCTGACTCTACCATTGTATGCAGTTGGCATTTTGATTGCTTGGCTTGTATATGAGTGGAAAAGTTCTTACAATATCTCACCCATGCCATTTCTGAAACCGCACCGCAGAGGTTATCAAATTTATTCTACCCAGCAGCTCTCTTACAAGCAAGACTCTTTCTGGGAGGTTATCAAATCGTTTGCAGGTTTGGTCTTGGATGGTTTTCTGGTCCCACAGATCATATTCAACTTCATATTTGATTCCAAAGAAAGGGCTCTATGCTTCTCCTTCTATATGGGTACCACATTTGTGCGTCTACTGCCTCATGCTTATGATCTTTACAGGGCTCATCATTCCAGCTGGTACCTTGATTTATCATACATATATGCAAACCACAAGCTAGACTTCTATTCCACTGCCTGGGACATCGCTATCCCTTGCACTGGTCTTCTATTAGCCCTTATCATATTCTTGCAGCAGCGGTTTGGTGGTCGATGCTTATTTCCCCGAGTTTTCCGTAAGCAGGGACCTTCATATGATAAAGTGCCAACGATCAGCAATGAGGAATTGTAAGATAAACATAGTTTGTATTGATTATTGCAACACTAATAGCATGTTTTACAATCCTTTCTCGGAAGTGTTCTCAAAGTCTCTCCTGAGACATTTTACATAACTAATATTTGATCGATTGGAGAAAATTTTGCTCATGTCGCTCATCAAAAAATGTTGGGTGGTTCTATTCTTTCGACTTTATTTTTGGTAGATTGACCATACTTTGCCTCAGTCTATGAGTTACTCTCTTTAACCTCTGATCAATTTGCTTGCCAGGGAACTCTCAGTTGCAAATGACCTAGAAGCTTTGAAGTAAAAATAGCTTCCTTCAAGTCATTTTTATCACCGTTTTCCAGCTTTACCATACAAATTGGCTTATTGGTGTGGAGAATGACGGTAGAGATCAGACCCAACAGCAGCCTGGTCGTCATTGTGTTTGGCTAACGAGTGTTCGGTTAACGAATACGGCGGTGAAGGTAAAAATTCCAGAAACACAACCCTCTCAACAGGCCGTGAAGTATTGTGTGCCTAACCATGAGTTTGATGCATTTAAAATTTTGTGGATGTGTACTCATAGTTCCCAAACAAATTCTTCAAACTGGGTAATTTGCAATCATCTCTTCAAGAAATTTATTTCAGTTACTCAATTCACTGGATCTCGAACAACATACTCACAAGTCAAAAGACAGAAATACAAAATCATTAAGTTTCACAGCATGAAAATGGCAGAGGAAAGTTCTATCAGAACTGATTTTTCATTTCAGTTACTCAATTCACTGGATCTTGAACAACATAGTCATAAGTCAAAAAACAGAAATATAAAATCATTAAGGTTGTCAGCATGAACAGGGCAGAGGAAAGTTCTATTAGAACTGATTTTTAATGAAATACAGAGGACTGGATAATTAGTCAAAATGCCCTCAGTAAATTGTTGGTGATCAACAGCAATAGTGCATGGACTACTGCATTACATATGAACAGTATGTACAAATCTTGAATCTAAAGGAACTCCAAAGTCCTTTTGCGTGAAAAAGCCGTTGCTTGATTTCATTGAATGCACATAGTAGTTACGCAACCCGAAAGCTTGAAAACCTGAGATATTGGCAATGGCTGAACTGACTCAGTATCGACATCATAACATGAAACACAAGGCAGATGGCAGAGTTCTACTAAACAAGTTACTAAACTTCATGACGAGGTGCTATTCAACACATGATAAGAACAAATAAATAAAGAATCAATCCCAACCACAATGGGAAAATTTCTAAAGAGATAATAGACGGTCCATAGAAATTGACGCAGTACTCAATTGTTTCTAAGCAAGGTTAGTTAGATCAATAACTAAAGATGGAGAAAGGGGAGTACCTGAATTCACATCTCATACACTCTTTTTGCCAGCAATGATACGAGATATCTGGAGGCCTCGGCTGAAGGCTTCATTGAATAAGATTCTTGTTTGCATCGACTGGAAACCAGGCAACCATGAGAGCAGTGCCAAAGGAGCCATGGCAATCACTCCAAACAGTAGATCATACAACCGAGCCAAGGAAACAATAGTATCCCATACGACGGTGGTTTGCAGGAAAGGTCTAAGCACCTGGGCTATTGATATTATGCCCCAGCCAGTGGGAATGAATGCCAAGAGACAAGTAACAAGGTCACCCGTGTTAAAGGGAGTGAACTGCATCAGTATAATAAGCACGAGCACTGTAATCACTATGACTATTAATTGAACTAGTCGATAATATATATGCTCCTTCGCAGCATACTTGTCCTGAGCATATGCTATAACTATGTAAATACCGACAAGTGCAATCATGGATAACCAGGAAATAAAGTAGACAGCTATACTTTTGTTGTGACCAGTAATATTAAGGTGATATACAATAGCATACTGGAAGAAGAAGAAACGAAGATCCAAAATGATCTCTAGAAGTTTTCCCCAAAGACCAGTTGTTCTCAGATGGCTGTTTTCCTCGAGCCACCATGCTTCCCAACTCTGTTCTGCTTTTGAAAACACTCCACCAGTATTCCATAACCAATTAATAAAATCATCAAAGTCATATACTGTCTTCAACCAATCAAACCCAGAAGGATTAAATATGAAGGGGGCCATTATCCACGAAACCACAAGAAACCAGCAAGAGATTGATAAAATGATAAAAGTAAAAGTACTTGTAGCCAGAGGGCTCTGTGAAGCGTACACTATTAAAATAACCCCGAGCTCAATTGCTTTCACAAAGTGGCTTCGAGCATAAAGTCTGTAGTTTTCAGCGAAGCTCTTGTGCTGCACCACAAACCCACGTCCTGTTGCTCGGTACTTAGCTCCACCATGAAGAATAGTTCGTCCAAAGAAATGGGTACGAGTTCCCAAAGAGAAAGTGTAAAAAAATGATGCTAGCTGCAACTGCATTGTCAAGAAGTTCCAAACTGCTGGAAGAAACCCATGCTCTAGGGTGTTCTCCACAATCATTGGTAGTGCAGTGAAGAGACCAAGTTGGATTACAAACTGCTGATTCAAGATGGCCCCAAGGGCCCTATTGTTTCCCGTACTTGCTGCTGCTGCATCCTCAACCCCACTAAGTGCGAGATAAAGCCGACCCCATAAAAATGTATAAACAGAAAGTACTACAAGCATTGTGTTGAAATAGAACCCTACGGTTGTGTAGAAAACTGAAAGCATTCGAAAGAAGTCCAATCTATGGCCCAGCCGGTATATATCCCTGCTCAAAACCTGCTCACCGTTGCCGCTAGCCACCTTGGCCTCAAACATAGAGATCTGATTTAATCCGACATCTCTTCCCTTGCCCACCTGTATATATTCATGGTGTGTCACATTGCCCCCCCTAAGGGTGCAATTGAAGCCAGCAAATATATCCTCGCTAATATTAATCACTCTGGAAGCCTTGCTGATTCCACCACGAGTCAGAAACCAGAATCTATCAAATACATCAGGGTGACCATAGTGCATTCTTACCTTTAACGGGTTTGCTAGAACTCTCTGTGCTAGGGTCACAAAGCTAGTCTCTTGTGCGGACATGAACCAAGCAAGAGAGGACACGGAACCAGTGAAGACATTCTCACGAACACCCAAGATGGTTGGCTTCCTAATACCATAATTGTTGTTGAATTCCTCCAACAAATTTCGCATTTTGAGTGCCTCCTCGAAATAATTATCTTGGTTCATGTCAATGGTCTGAACTGCATCACCCCTTGTAAAGATAATTGCATGGTTCTGATTTTCCGGTTTCCCTTCCCCAAGCTTCAAGGGACCAGGCAACCTGATTCGATAGATCACCACCTCCCTCTGTAGCTCTTGATCATACTTAACGAGAACAGAGTAAAACTCAACTTCATCTCTCCCACGGTGAACTTCATCAACATATGCAACTCTAAGGGCTTCGTTCTCCTTCATCAAATTTAAAATCTCCTCTGCACGAGAGTCTTTTTTTGCTTTTTGTAGCCCATAAACCTGGCAGGTAACCACGTAGGTGAATTTCATAAGGGCACTCCCATATTTACGTCCTCTAAATAACAGGTCTACTCCAGTAGATGCATTATCCAAATCCCCGGAAGCAGGAGGTTGTGTTGAATGAAAACCATCCAAGCCATGTTTCCGGGTTATTGAACCATGTGAAGCAATTTCTTGTGATCCCATTCTAATGACCTCCTCAGATGCAGAGTCTAGAAATGAAAACAGTTTTAGTGCCCTATAATAATACATCATTCCCCTAACAGTTCGAGATAAAGTCTGGCCCCTATATGATGCCCAAAGACGAAGGTCCCTCGATTTCTTTGTCCATATGTCATCCTCGTGCTCCAAACCCTCCCTACGCATCCGCTCCATAAAATTCCTCCACTCATCTTCATAGATTCTCTGCAGATAGAACAAAGTTGAAACACCATCCTCGTTTTCACTTCGCAGCATTTCTTTACCATACACAACTTCTTCATCATAGTAAGGGGTCAGAACACTGAAAGGCATCATTTTTTCAACAAATGGAGCACGAGGCATGTTCATAAAAAGTGAATTGCTAAAGAAAGCTAATCGTCTTCTAGCCTCAAGATTGGAAGGGACGTTATGCATTGAGTCTCTAGATGTAAGAATTGTATGCAGACGCTGGACATTCCTATAAAATGTTTTGTCCTCTATATCAGGAAACTCAACAGCTTTCTCAAAGAGAAATCCTTCTTCAGCAGCTGAGTTACGAAACGCCAACCCTTCTTCTCTCAATTGCTTGGTGGATTTCTTCGATCTTGGGAACTCTCTAATGGAAAGTTCATACAAGGCCTGTAATATATTCACTGCCTTGCTCAGATCTTTCTTCGTTCCAATTAGAAGCTCAACAAGTGAAATTAACTTGGTGTGAATTTCTGGTAGCACAGTTAACTTGTATGCCTCCGTGAACTTCCCCATTATAATAACAGAATCAATGTCCATGAATAATTTTGTAACAATTGAGTTTTCTTCAGAACCATATTTAACAATATTCAAAAGCAAGGCCTTCACACTATCATATGCTTCAATTACAGCACATCTCTGATACTCGTTCTTGCATATCTTTGACCAGAGATCCTCGTCAGATTTAGTTTCAAGCTCTGTTGCCTGGCTGAGAGCAAGGAGCAGCTCGTTGCAAAGGAGGAAACATGGCCAACGGATTACCCTAATGTTCCAACAATTAGGTGGAAGCTCCAAGAGCTCGAAATCTCTATCACTGATGAGATCTTCTTCCCTCATAGTTATCATTACCTCGTTCCAAATCAATGCAAACCTGGTAGTATCTACCTGACTTGATTCAATTTTTTTGTAAGTTTGGYCCAGTCCATATCGCAACTTCAGTCGGTGGATGGCATCACGGAATTTCTTCAGAACTGTCATCTCAAGTGTGAGCTGTTTTTCCTCTGGCATAAGATTAAATTGCATTGCACTAGCAAAAAATTGAAATCTAAGCCTTAGCTGACCAATATTACGAATCTCACCCAAATGTGAAAACAGCCCAACTATAGCACCAACAAATGATGAGTAGATAGAATACCATATCTGTAAATCCATGAGGTATATCAGCACAACAGGAGTCCATAACATCACAATCGCAACAATATTGGTGCTACCAAAAAACTCATGCCATTTATAAGGACCCTTGAGTTTCAAAAGCCCCTTGGTTGGACCAACAAGGGGCTGGATCTGAAGGAAATAACTAAAAGCAAATTTAGAAGCCAATACTGCTACCCAGAAAACTGTGTACTTGATATTATCAATAAGCCCTTCACGCAAGCCACGTCCAACAAAAATTCGAGTATGAAACCACCATGTAAATAAATACATCACTTTCCAATCTAATTTCTCGAGTCCATTCCTAATCCATGGAAGAACAAAGAATAGCAATGCCAGCAACTCTGGGATAAGAAAAGCAAAGACAGCCTGAAGAAAAACAATAATCTTCCCATTTGCCTTATCTGACCAAAAGCCATCCAAATTCTTTTGACTCCAAATCCGAGCATAAAATAAGGCAAAAACTATAATCCAAGCAGTGGCAGCCAAGCCCTTTAGAAGCATTCTAACGCCTAGCCATATGGTTTCCCTCGAAACCAAACTATACTGAGTTCCAGCATCAAGCACGGCCTGAAACAACCGCAGACTGCTCCAAGTGATGAATACGGTGAGCAATTCCACCTGCAGGTCCCTACTCTTCAGAGCTATCCATGGATACTGCTTCCCCTGCCAAGCAACAATGATAGAAGCTTGTAAAAACAATATTAACAATACCCAAAGCTTGTCAAAGCTCCTAAATATGTTCCAAAACGACCTCTGCTCCACAAAACCTGTCTTCCCGACTCGCCTGTTTTTCTCTATCGTGGCAAAGAAATTACTATTTAGTTCTAAGGGCCACTTAAGATTGTTGAAACACCTTCTACTCCAGAAATACTCATTGATATCGTCGTAATTTCTCCACGCCGAATGTGGTGCTGTACCATTTCTGCTACTCTCGACCTCAGTCTTAATAGTCTGGTAAATGGGAATTACCACACTCTTCAAAAATCCACAGTCCCCATGAAACGAAGGCAAATATGGCCTACCCGTGTCGGGGTTTATGTATTCGTCAAGAATCTGGTTAAGTTCCATCGCCATAAAGTGATAGATGTAACATATACATTCAGGAACAAATCGAAGATTAGCAGACTCGCCCCAGATTAAAAGGTAAAGCGACACATATAGCAATTCTCGTCGGGCATCACTCTGGTCCTGCCGGTTCGAGAGCCGTACATTAGATTTCCGACCTAAATACGAGCACCACGAAGAGTAACTCTGAAGGAGCTTCTGGCGGAACCGACGAAGCACCGTACGGTCGAGTTCATCCGGCTGCTTTGAAGGAGGGTGGAGCCGCATTTGGGAATTCGCCAAGTGGAGGACTAGATGCTCCCGTTGATTCCGAACGTTGTCGT